GCTTAAGAAACTCCTAAACGTGAAATTTGAGCCTTGCAAGTTTGCTCATTCATTGTTCATATGGCAGAGATTTTAATGGGAAGTTTATTGCAAATCTGCTCTGTTTGACGAACTTCCGATAAAAACTATGTGAAAGGCTTTGCCTTTTAGAAAGCTAAATACAATAACTTCAATGTTAAAGAATCTTCTTCGATGTGCTTCACACGATTACATAAATTAGACAACTGCATTAACATATATTATAACAAGGAATGGTCAGTATGGACAATTCCCGGAATTCCCCTGGAAACTCTCAATTATTTGTATTTTACCTTGAAACATGGGGGGGGGGGCAAAAGAAGACACAAGTATACACAATGTACGCAAAAGGGGGGATATGTGAAAATCGTGCATGTGCGTAGAAGGGGAGAGGGAGGGTCAAAAAGTGGCTCTCAAACTGCGTACGTACTATATGGATGACCCCTAAGAATTTCAAGTAAATGATATATATATATATATATATGCCGATTATTCCTGAACCTTCTTTAAAAAATGTCATCTCGAAGTTTAAAAGCCTCTCTGGAAGGTTAGAATGTTTTACATAGATTTTTTCACGTGAAAATAGTAGCAGCAGGCCTTCTTGAGAATAGATTAGCCATATGGCATAATGTGTGCAAAGTTGTACGAAATATGAAATCTAGCTTCGCATCTCAATAGAAAACTTTTTAGAAAAGTCGATCAACGATATGTGATTTGCCTGGATAATGACCGTCGGAGAATCGACGAGAACGATGCATGTAGATTTTGCCAAAACAAAGGATTTTCGGGAGACGGTATGGTTTTTACACTACCCTGCAAGACCCCTGGAAAGTTGTCCGCATTTCCTGTGAAATTTCATGTGGTAAGGACCAGAGAAACGCTCTTCCTGCAATCGAAGGATTTGAAAATGAAATTAATCTCGAGGAAATCAAGAATTTTATTGATAACAATGATAATAGGGGAAAAAAGGTTTTAAGCTAGATTTAAGGTCAAGAAAATGATTAAATTCTCAAAACAAAAGATTTTGAAATAGCTCTATTGTTTTGAAAATATAAGGGGGGCCATGACCCCCCCCGGCCCCTGGTCACTTGTTAAATAAGTTGATTTGTTTAAGTAAATAAGATAGCATTGGAATTGGTACCATAATGTATAAAACATGAATTTTAAATTTGAGATTGTGCATCAGTGACATAATGTTGTATTTTTCTATCATCCTGGTTTACTCTTTTCTGTTTATAGACTGTCATTTCTTTCCAGTTCCTGTTCAATTGCCTGGACTTAATCTTTGGAGGCTAGAGAAAAACGACACTAATCCTTCAGCTCGCTATTATGTAAGTATAAACATGTCACCATGAAAAACTACACCTAAATATTTCAGGGCAAGGGGACATGGTATGGTAATAATCGTTGTTATTTTAACAAGAAATTAGTAGAAACCACTAGGAAACAAGAAGAAACAAGTAGGAAATGAATAGGAAACAAGTAGGAAACGAGTAGCCTACATGATGTAGGAACAATCAGAAACAAGTAGAAAACGACTATAAAATAAGCAGAAATTGGTAGGAAAAATTTCCACTGCGGCTGCCATTTTATTTATGATGACATTTTATTTATGATATTTTTAGAATGCTTAATTGTTCCCAGACTCCTAAATTGATTATCTCTATAACTTTGCTGAAAATGAAATCAATGACATTAAAATTGGTATAGATACTAATCATAACACGGTTATGTGATCTAGATTCACGCCCATCTCCAAAATGCCCCCAAATGCTATTTTAAGATCATGTACTCGTTCCCAGACCTCTAACACGCTTATCTCTATAACTCCGCTAAAAATAAAATCAATAGCAAGCATCTTGATTTAGATTATAATTATAGCACACTAGAAGGATTTTTATCGACACCCATCTTCAAAATAACCCCAAATGCTATTTTTAGATTGCTTAATTGTTCCCAGACTCCTAAGTCGATTTTCTCTTTAACTTTGTTGAAAATGAAATCAGTGACCTGAAATTTAGCAGGAATATTAATCATAGCAAACAAGAAATTCAGAATGATTTTGATTTACACACGTAAATGATTTAAATTGACTTCCATCTTCAAACTGCTACCCGAATGCTGTTTTTAGAATGTGTAATAGTTCCCAGATCTCAAAAAAGTTTTGCTCTGGAATGTCGCTAAAAACAAACTTAATGCTATTAAGCTTGTTTAAATTATTATTTAAAAGTACGATTAACACCCTGGTCAAATTAGCTTTGATCACAAATGATTTTGCGCTGGAAAAGATAGTTGTTAGTACTCAGTTGGACGGAACACTTAAAAAAAGGCCACTCAGTTTGTAATGAGTTGAATCTTTGCAATCACGAGGAGGTAGATACAAGCCAACTTTTGATAAATTTTGTTATTATCGTAATTGCTAAGTTTCCATGCTACTGGAAGAAAAATAAAAAGGGATTCCAATCCAACATATTCTTTCAGGGATCGCGAGATACTGTGTTTCATGTTTCGGTATGCACCATCCGTTTTTGATGCAGTTGAATAGTTTGCTGGTCGAGAGAAGCTTACTGCATGGCAGACATGTAAGTCTTTCCCTTGTAGAAATAAATTCTTCAAGCAGGTCATTAGTGCTAGCCGACAAAGACTTTGCATTCAGGAGCAGACCGAGCTTCGTTGGTGCCCCCAAGCACTCACCAACCTTGGTGCCCCCTCTTTTTACCAATGACCCAAGGCTAAGAAAAGGGGAAGATGATATTACCAGGTTTATTGATTTCTGTTTTGAAAATAGATAGGTTATAAGAATCTGGGGTGCAAGAAGGGCGCTCCAAAACGTTTCAAAGTCTACAAGCTCTAGAAAGGAAAGACAAGGAAGATTCCGAGTATATCTTGGGGAATCAGGGATAAAAGATAAGATCTCCTGGAAGCAATGTGTATGGAAATAACTGTTAAAAATGGATTGGTTAGCAATACAACGCCGAGGAGAATGAAGTTGCAGAGATTTGTAAAGGTGCAGTTGTTGATGAGATGAATAGTATTTTACTGTAAGGATTTAAGTTTTGTAGAGAAGGCATAGAAAAGATTTAGAAGCGCCAAACCAGGTATGAGAGCAATACACCAAGAAACCATGGCATTAGATCTATCAGAAGTAATGCTGCCAATCCACCTAATAATAGTGCATTACAAACCATTAAATATGATGTTTTCTGATGAAGAAGTTTTCTGCCAGACAAAATCAAAAACCTGAGGCAAAAGGTGTAGGAGATCACTCTGCAGTTACCAAAGGAGTCAATAACATAACTAGGCAATT